CGGACCAGTAATGGTGTTAGTACAGCCAGAACTGGAAGACAAGAAGAAGGAAAGAGAGAGAGAAGAAAATTGAGAGTAGATAGATAAAGAATAACTTGGATAATTACAGCGACAGAGAAAAAAAGCAAGAAACAGAAGGTAACTTTTTTTAGCCCAGCAGAAACTCTACAAAGTAATTTTGTACACAGAATGCCAGACACTTCTGTCATTTTCACAGCAAAAATACATTTCTCTAATGTTCCTGAATACATATTACAGATTTCACAGCCACTTGCTGGAGAATGATTCATCAAGCAGAGCAGCGAGTAAACATAAGTGATATCTGACCTGAGAGTAAAAACCAGAAAGCAGTAAAAGTTACAGAATGCAAAGTACCGCAGTGCTTATAACAATAACAACGTCATCTTAAGGTCAAGAAACATTTCATAAACTCCACAGTGATGATGCACCTCCACCACTCTTCAGAGTGGCTTTTTATCCTCAGAACTGAGCACTATCAAGTATCCAGCCACACAGGCTCACTAAAGATATTCTCTTTCAATTCCTAAGCAGTCTCGAAGCCTTAGTTTTTTTCCCCCCATAAATTCCATGTGAAACACACAGAACCATTTTATGGCAAAATATTTGCTTCTATGGAGTTTATCCAACCACTGCCTTCAATCAAACCCCAGAGAGACTCTTTTCCTGTTCAACACTCTGGACATTTTCATAACACAGACATGCAGAGAAACTCTGTGCTTCATTAGCAGGCAATTCATCTTGGGAACAACCAGCCTCTTGCTTTGGCACTGCCTCCAACATCTGTCTAAGGGCTACAGTTTGGAATGGCCAACACCAGGCATGCTGGTGGGCAGGCCGATAGGAAACATCAGTCCTGTTGTGGAATAAAGGCAGGAGGGACTACATCTGGTTCAACTAGGAACCCAACAGTACACTCATTCCAATCCCACCCTGAAATAAAGATTTGGGGACCTTCCAAAAAGCATCTGCCTCCAAACTGCACAGCAGCTTCTCCACATCCACGACCCAAGGCATGAATGCCATACACTCTCAGCCATACACTGACACCGGTGAACACCTGTGTGATCCAGACACCCTGAGCACACTGTGCACAGCCTTTAGAACACATTTTTCTCCTCCAAAAACCGTGCAAAACACACATCAGTCTGGACAACAGTGTGAATTCTCAGTGAGGGATCTGCTTAAGCAAAACTCCTACGGAACATGAGGCTCCTAAATGCAAACTTCCCTCTAGATCTCCACGATCACAAGCACAGAAACATATTGTTTTGCTTAAGAACATGTCTCCTAGACTTTCTTCTGCAGCCTAGCTGTGAAGCCAACTTGTAAGTTGGCTCACAAGTCTCAACAATCACACCAAGAAACTCCACCTCCAGTGCAACAGGAGCTTGAGCATCTTCTCAGGAATCGCTCCCACCACCCGTAAAAATGTCACAAAAGCACAGACAGCTCCACAAGAAATGCTTTGGCCACCACTAACTCACAAGTACACCGCTATACACACAACAGGTGGAGAGCTGTCTCTCCCAAAGCTGCACCAGACTGAGCACCACAAGCGTTACCCTCTCTCACCTCACCACACGGACAAGTTTTACGCACATCTGACACAACACGCTTAAAACAAGCTGGTGCGTTCTAGCACACATTTCATTTTCTGCCTCCGTGTAGAGAAGAGCTAGAAGCCCACAGATACCGCGGGTATCCTTATCAGGGTCTCCCACGTTTCAAAAGAAACACTGAACACGGTAAATTTCGCCAAGAGAACAAGGGCGGCAAACGCGTCCAGAATTCCCCCGGTTACCGATCCCATTGAAACCTGCACCAGGACGGGACGGGGGAGGACGGCAGCAACCAGACCCTGTAACAGGACCGAGCCGGGGAAGGCGCGAGTCGCCGCACACCCATCGACAACAAATCGGGATAACAAACAAAGAGCCAGACACACAATTCCCGCGGAGCGCCCCGAGCGCCTGCCGGGAGGAGCGGCAGACAAAGAAAACACCTGGGCTGGCACCGGGCCCACGGGACGGCGGTGCCGCCCCGACCCGCGCTGCCACAGCACCGGGCGGGACCCGCGCCCGGACACGGGACCCCGGGCCCGGGGACAGCGCGCGGGCCCGGCCCGGACACGGGAACATGACGGGAACACGGCGGGCACACGGCCGGCACAGCGGCGCGGCCCAGAGCCGGCGGGTGGGTGACACGGAACAGGCGGCGCTCGGCGCCCCGGGCCCGGTGCGGTGGGGCCGCTGCGCGCTCGGGCGGCGCCGCCGCCGCCGCCACACAAAGGGAGGCAGAGGCCTCCAGGCTCCGGCCCGCGCCTTCCCCCCCGCGCCGCTCACCCCGCCGGCTCCGCTCCGCGTGCCGCCGCCGCCGCGGGCAGCCCCGGTGGGTGCGCGGGGTCCGCCCGGCCCGGCCCGTCCCGCCGGTACCGCCCGCACCGACACTGCCGCCGCTGCCGCAAAGCGCGCCACGGCCCGCGCGACACACAACCCCCCCACGGCGGGCCAGCGCCGGCGCGCTTTACGGCAGCGCCCGGGAGGCGGGAGCACGTGGCGGCGCCATGAGGAGACCGAGTGAGGGGCGGGAATGGGCACCGGGCACGGGCACCGGGCACGGGAACAGCGCCAGACGGCGCCCTAGGGGCAGGGGGAGCGGCGGAGGGGGGCGGCGCGGCACCGCGGGGCCGCTCGCGGCCGAGCGAGCGACAGGGGCCCAAGGCGAGGGAATGGGATACCAGGGCTGGAGAGAACGGCGGGGGAATGGGGCACCGGGAGAGGGGAATCGGACACCGGGCGGCGGAATCGGACACGGGGCTGGAGGGAATGGCGGGGTTTCGGGCACCGGCGCTCGGGGGAACGGCGCTGGTGGGAGCTCGGCCGTGTCCCCGGGCGGGCGGGGTGTGTGTGTCGGTACCCGGTGATCCCGGTACACGGTGATCCCGGTGCGTTGCAGAGCTGAGGAAGGCGAGCAAGAGGCTGAGCTGCCACAAGCGCTACAAGATCCAGAAAAAGGTGAGTCCCGACGGTGCGGGATAGGGGAAGGGAGGGGGGTCTGCTGCTAATTAAAGCTCCACGTTAACTAGTTTAACTCTAAAAGCATTTTTATATGTTGCTATAGAACATGAAAAGCATTTTTTTTGTGTTACTTTAGAAATATATTGCGCGTGTACATGTACACAGTAAGGGTATTATATTGCATGTTAAAGAGTCTGGGCTTCAGTGAGGAATTTGTTTTCCAGTGTAGGTTTTTTACATCTTTATATTTTACATTGTTTTGGGCTGGTGCATTGAAGTGTAGCTTTATGATGACACATTATGCAGTCAAACCACCTGCAGGTCAGAAATGTGCTGGTTTTTACTCTAAGTGTTTTTTTTTGGTGAGGGGGCCTTAGACTGAGCATGTATTCTTGTTCCTGTCTCCAGATCAGAGAGCACCACCGAAAGGTCAGGAAGGAGGCCAAGAAACGTGGGCACAAAAAGCCCAAGAAAGATCCCGGAGTTCCCAGCGCTGCACCGTTCAAGGAGGAGCTTCTACGGGAGGCAGAGCAAAGAAAGCAGAGGGTAAAATACAGCTTGTGGCAAAGAGGACAAGAACTGAGACTATTCCTGCCTTCAGTGAAGCTTTGTGTGTGCACCAGAGGTGCAGTTGTGGTGGACTGTAGATGGTCCTGGTAGACAAATACTTTGGAAAAGTAATATCTTTATTTCCAGGATTGTACAGTGTGCAACAATTGGCTCTTTTATTTTTAACCTTCTTTTTCTCACTGTACGTATTAACATGCTGGAAGAGTCATTTTTAATGTGCTCCAAATTGCTTGCAATGGTAAGATGCATGGATGTGCTAAAAATTAAATCTTGGCACAATGTGATTATACAGAAAATAAGGATCTGCTGTCTGCAGTGTGGAGTAATGTGGCATGGGAACAGCACAGTTGTAGTGGTTGCTGCACAGCTGTTATTTTGGGGTCAGGCTAATGGCTGGTTGCCTCTGGTTTTGAGGCAGTTGAAGGCAACAGTACTCTTTTCAGGGTAGGATGCAAAAAAACGTGTCCCAGTGTCACTTGGACAGCCAGGACTTCTAATTGAGCTGTCTCAGGAACTTGGGTCAGACATAGGGAAATGAGGAGAAAGAACAGCCTTCCTTATCACCTTCAAAAATGTTTTATCTGGCTTGGATTTTGTTTGCAATCAGCTTGAAGAACTGAAACAAAAGCAGAAGCTCAACAGACAGAAAGAACATGAAAAGAAGAGGAAGCTGGAAGCTAAAAAAAAAGCAGCCAAAATCAAGGAAAAAGCAGAGGGAAAGGTAGGTGTCCTGTATGATTTTGATTCTGTGAAGCTTATAAAAGTCATCCTGAAACTGCACCTTCTCAAGCAGGATGTTACATTTTCATGCTATGTGCGCACAGAAGTATTTACTCTTAATTCTTATTTAAATAATTTGCTTTTGTTTTTATTTGCCTTCAGGAATCCTCTGGCAAATCTAAAGGAAAGACTAAAAAACCTGTGAATAAAAATTCAAAGAAATCATTCTGCAGGGAGCTCAACAAGGTGAAGTGCTTCAGCTATCTTTATATAATTTGATGAGAGTCAGCAATGAGACCACTTGTTATTTTCCTTTCTTTGGCATTACTGTGCAGCTGCTGGAGAGTATAAAGGTTGCCTGTGATAAACATCAACACTTGACGGGATTTTACAACAGAGAGTGTTTACAGCGCAGTAACTTTTGTTGTCATCTGGTGTGTGATGCCTTATTTGAGTCTTGTCTTGTTTCTAACCCAGGTGCTTGAGGCCTCAGATGTGGTTCTGGAGATTTTAGATGCGAGAGATCCAATGGGCTGCCGGTGTCCTCAGCTGGAGCAAGCTGTCATTTGCTCTGGAGGAAACAAAAAGCTGCTGTTGGTTCTGAACAAAATTGGTAAGAAACACAGGTTTTCTCCAAGTGTTACTTGGTCACTGTGTGGTTCTGTGGTAGGTGAGCTATGAAGAAGTTTTTAAAGGAATCTGAGATTCCAGTGAGGACATTTGGTCCAACTCTGAGCTCACTAAGAAAGCTGGAAATTATTGACTTACCAGCAGCTGAAAAACCATAAAATAAAATAGCTAGAGCAAAGGGAACTTTGTATTAGATTAGCCCTTGCAGGGATGGTGGGATAATAGTTCACCAAACATCGCTCTGTATCATACACAGTCTTCTAACAAGACCCCAGCCTTAAAAACCTAATACAGGGGCCAAAAATGTAATTGGGATGTGTTCTGCTTAAGGCAGGAAAAGGAGACACTGGGTGCCTTTGGGGAACATACTTTAATGTTTCAGCCAAACATTATTTGTTGTAAAGGAACATCCTAAATGGACAAAATGTGGCCTGATTTCTAATTTCACATCAGATTTCCTACACACAGTGATATTTAAGATCGACAGGAGTGAAAGAACTCCTCTTTTTTCCAGATTTAGTGCCAAAGGACAACTTAGAGAAATGGTTGAATTATTTGAAGAAGGAGTTTCCAACAGTTGCTTTTAAATCAGCAACGTTGATGAAGGACAAGACTATGGTAAGAGCACTGCAGGCTGTCTCATGAGTAAGTTGTGTGTTTGCAATCATGCATGATGAAGCATGTTGAGGAACTCTTTGTTCTTTAAAATTCCTTTTCCCCTTGTTTGATTACACTGCTGTGACTGATGGATATGCCTTTACACTTCAGCTGAGCTTTGCAGTACAGTGTGGGGGGGTTCTTGCCACTGAAATTACAGTAGATTGATAAATCTAGAGCAATAAACAGAATATACATATTTTATCTTCCTAAATAGCTCCTGACCATGGGTTTTTTTGCCTTTGAATCCTGTAGCAGGAACAGTTCACAAAAAGACGTGCACGTGTTGATTTATCAAAACCCTCTCAGTGTTTTGGAACCAAATGCCTTTTGAAACTTCTTCAAGAGCATGGCAAGACTCTAAACAAAGCCATTCAGGTTGGGGTAGTAGGTGAGTGTTTTTGGACAGACAGGAGGAGTTTCCTTCTCCTCCCATAAAGCTTTGGGGTCCCGTGTTACAAACTGGGTAAAACTGCTAACACAGGGTTTGCTAAGGGACTTTCTAGTCATTGTATCAGTGTGAGAAATGAGGATACACACTTTGTCTTACTTCTGTAGTGAAGACTTCAGATCCAACTCTGATCTCACACTGATGATGCACCTTAGCAAAGACACTTGGAAGACGGGAGTTTTGATCAGTGTTATTTAACTTACAAGGATTTATGTGATTTTCTTCAGGTTTCCCTAACGTGGGAAAGAGCAGCATAATCAACAGTCTCAAAGGAGCGCGTGCTTGCAATGTCAGCATAGCAAGAGGTGTTACCAAGTAAGTTCAGTCTGATAAAAGCTGTTCCTTTCCCTGTTTGTTGTGTTCCACTTACCTTGAGTTTTGTTTGTGTACAGTTTCCATCCATTGGGTGCAAAATATGCACTTGTGTGCAGTTTTAAATGCACACTTTGCAAGATTAAAGGTGTTGATCTGTGTGATGGAAGCTCTCACCAGAGAATACATTGTATAAACTTACTTTTGTAGGTTTAGATTTCTGTCCTACACAAAGCAATGATGACAAAACACTGAAGCTGAGTCTGTATGAAGTCCATTCAATCCAACACTGAGCTTTGTGTCTTACATCCCTCACCATCACCACTCCTCCATTGATTATCCACTCACGGTGCATTTCTCTCTGAACAGGTCCATGCAAATTGTGCACATTGATAAGCAGACAAAGATGTTGGACAGTCCAAGTATAATTGCAGATCCTTCCAACAGTGCCCTGGCTCTGGCCTTAAGAAGTATCATAGACACTGAAGAACCAGGCTCAGCAGATGTGCTTGAAGCAGTAAATGCCATTATAAATAACTGCAGTAAGCAGCAGGTGAGCTCCATCTTTTTCCACATCTCTCACTGCATTTTACTTCTCTGTAGGTTTCTTAGGCCCAATAATGAAAGTTCCTTTCACTTCAGCTAATTCTGATAGTTTTTGCACTGCATTCCCTAACCATGCAGAGTAGCAGTGCTAAGTGTGGTCCTTCATCCTTACCAAGAGGAGGCAGAACAGCATTCTGTGATCCTGACAGCCAGAGTGTTATCCCAGTAACGTTTCTGATTTTTAAACAACCCTGCTTTTAAGATCTCATCGCAGGATCACAGAGTGAAAAATGATGATATTCTTTCTGTATCCTGTTGTTACAGTGAAGACCTCAGATCCAACTCTGATTTCACTCAAATTAACCTAAGCCTAATTCCCATTCAGTGGCTGTTTTCACAGACCAGTGCTCTGTCTCTGTCCACCCACTAGTCTGGGTGAATGCAAAGTAGTTTGTTGGTGAAGAAGGCATTTTGCTTTGTAATGTTTACTCCCACATGCAAGAGAAAAACAGCTCTTCACACTCTCATTTGTCCTCATTGTAATGCAATTTGATTTGCTCTTTTATTCCTAAAACTAAGAGAAAGGTGGGTCTCTCTAAATATGCCATTTTCTTTTGCCCCAGGTAATGATGCACTACAGTATGCCAGATTTCAGGAACCCTGAGGAGTTTTTATCTTTACTTGCTCAGAAGAGGGGCATGCTGAAAAAGGGAGGTGTTCCTGATGTAGAAAATATAGCTAAAGTAGTGCTCTGTGACTGGACAGGGTATGTATGCTGCAAACTTTGCTCTGTGCTGCTCACCTTTTTCATGTTGTTAATCCAGCACAGCAGAAACTCCAAGTCATGCAAAGCACTTAGAAAGGAGAGCCTTTCTTTCCTTTTTTCCAATTGGCCAACAGAGTTAGGGAATGCCATCCATGGATAATTTTCTGAAGTTGTGAGGGATACATGACAAAAGTCAAAGCCTGTTGCACATTACTCCCTAGCCAGTTTGCTGACTTACGCTGTAACTCTCTTAGGGAAGTTTACCTTCCTCTCCAATACCAAGTCCATATAGTTCTCTTCTACACAGGAAAGGATGTGGCAAATCTGGGGAAATTTATGGTGATTCCTATATTCTGAGGGTGGGAATAAATGTAACTCAGAATCAGTAATTGACTGTGATTTTTTCTCTTGCTCAAGTTGTTCAGCTGCTTTTACAGCTCATGATTATACAGGCAGGTGATTTATGGTGACAATGTATGCCACTTCCCTTTCAGGAGTGGGCAATCCACTTAGTACTGTTGACAACTTCAGAGTCAAATTTAAATAGCTATTAAACTGCTATTAAACAGCCAATAGTACATGAGTATTTAGGTTGAGAAGTTTCAGAGCTTTGTGCTCTGGGTTTTATTTTTAAATACAGTGATTTAACTATGTTATCTTTAGTTAGTTTTTAATGCTGATTTTTATTTCCCAGAGGCAAAATAAGCTACCACTCAGAACCTCCAGGATCTCAGACACCACCACCATATCTTACAGAACAAAAAATAGCTGAAATGCAAGAGGGCTTGAATTTAAAGAACTTAGAAGAAGAAAACAGCAACACTGTTCAAGGTAGGACTGTTACTGTGATACACTGCCATTAATCATAGAATGGTTTGGGTTGGAAGGGACATTAAAGATCATCTCACTCCAACCCCCCTGCCATGGGCAGGGACACCTCCCACTAGACCAAGTTGCTCAGAGCCCCATCCAACCTGGCCTTGAACACTTCTAGGGATGGGGAAGCCACATCTTTTCTGGGCGACCTGTGCCACTGCATCACCACCCTCACAGGGAAGATATTTTTCCTAATATACAATCTAAACTTACTTAGGTAAACTTACCTATACTCAAATCCAAGATTTTCAGCTCCTAGCAGTCTCAGAATTGTCCTTTGTTCTGCCTGCCTATGTGGGAGTGCTGTGGCAGGGAGGGGGCAAGACTAAAATGTGTCCTCTCAGGGTGGGCATTACACCTGGTGCTGTCTGACTGGGACTTAACAGACACTTACTATGTCTTTGCCAGCTTTAAAATACCCCAGTCCAGCAAGCAGCATTATTTTCCAGTCAGCTGGTATGGCAAATGGGACAATAGAGGAAAGTAAAGTGATAGAGGAAGGATCAAAGTGGAAAAACATGGAAAGAACCGAGGAGGAGGAAGAAGAAGAGGAGGAAGAGGAAGAAGAGGAGGAGGAATTTACAGAAAGCGATGATGATGAAGATGATATGGAAGAAGAAGAAGACGAAGAAGAAAATGATGTCAAAGAGGTAAATTAAGGTTTCTACCTGTTTAGATCCTGACACCAAGAACCCAGTCAGTGTCTTGCTGTGAAGTGAGGCACTGGAGACACTGGATGTAATCAAAAAGCCTTTCTCCTCCAGGTAAGGGTTGGGCTGTTTTCCTTAGTTAAGGAAACAACATTGTTCTGAGTTAGTTGCCTGAGCGGTGTGTTTCTAACCAACTGTACAAGGCGACATCCACATCATCCTCAGGGTCTGTTGGGTTTCATTTGCATGGGAGATCTCATTAGTGATGTTTGAATAACACACTTCTGATCTCTCTGACTTGTAGGAAAGCAAAGTTCAGGTCACCAGGAAAGCAAAGCTTGGAAAACAACAAGCAAACCCTCCAAATTCAGAGGAGCAGATGGCAGGTCTGTATTAAGAACTCTGGCTTCAAGGATGGTCTCTAGTACTCCAGCACTTGCATTGGTTTCACTAACGCATGATTTTCTCTTCTCAGAAGGTGAACATTCCACTTCCCTGTCCTTCAGCTTAGATAAGCCAGCAGAGGAAGATGATGCCTATGATTTTAATACAGACTATGTGTAGCAATCAGGTGTGATGGCACTGTTTGGACACTCTTACTACTGGCCTTCAGAACAGCCCTGAAGACTTGAGTTGCAGCAGAAGTGGAGGAATGCTGCACACCAGAGCTGCTGCAAAGACTCACAATTATTGCTGTATCAAATAATGTATATAATAGTGCATATCCCTTGATGGTTCCAGATTTTACACAGTCTGGGAAACTGCCTGTTATTCAGCTTTAAGTTGTAAAGTTTATTTCCTGTATTAAATCCTATTTAAAAAAATTCCTAATATGCCGAGTTAATCTGTTCACTTTGTCT